AGTGAGTGGTAAGGAGGTACACAGGCAACCCAAAGGCACGCAGTCCGATTTCACCACCTGTACCAAGGAGAAATATAGTCGGTCTCCTGTGCAATTTACTGCCCCTGAAAACCTGCTGGAGGGTCACCTATTGGTGGTGTCGCCTGCAACTCATAGAGGCCCTATGTACATTAGCTCTGAACTCTGCCCTATCCTGAGCCAATCTCATCAACTCTGAAAGACCTAATTTCATTGCTTCAGTCCTGGATATTCTTCTCCTGTGCTGTCCCTCTACCTTTCCAAGCATGATGTCCTTTTCTAAGGATTTATCCCTCTTGGCCATGTGCCCAAAGTATATAAGACGGGGTTTCAAGATCCTTGCCTCCAGGGAGCATCTTGGTTTCACCCTCTCCTGGACAGACCTGTTTGTTCTCTTGGCAGTCCACATACTTTTCAAACCAGTTCAATACTTTTCTCCAGCACCACAACTCAAGGCATCAATCCTTTTTATATCATTTTTAGCTATTATCCAGCTCTCTGATACATAGCAAGTAATTACCAACACCATGGCCTGGATCAGGCACACCTTAGTCTTTAGATCAACATCGTTGCTCTTTAGCATATTGAAGGGAGTCTCTGACAGCAGACTTTCAATGCAATCTGTCTTCTGACTTCCTAACTGTTGATGCCAAGAATGTTGATTGTGGACCTGAATCTCTTCTCCACCCATAATGAAGCTGCCAATTAGCCCAGTGGTGAGAATCTTTTTTTCTTTTCTTCTTGATGTTGAGCTTCAGTTCATACTGAAGACTACAGTCTTTGACCTTCTGCAGCAATCACCTCATATCCTCCTCAGTTTCCACAAACAGGGTTGTGTCTTCTGTATAATATAGGTTGTTGATGAGTCTTCCTTCAATCCACATGTCACATTCCTCCACATAAATGTGATATATTATTAAAAATGTACATATATATCTAGGACACCTGGTGACATAGTGTGCAATGTGTTGGGCTACTAACCAAAATGTGAGCAGTTCAAATCCATCCGCTTCTCTGAGGGAAAAAGATGAGCAAATTCCTCCTGTAAAGATTTGTAGAATCAGAATCCCATAGGAGAGTCACTATGAGTTGGACCTGACAGCAGTGAATTTTTGCTTATATAATGTATGTAGAGAAAGCAGACTATAATAAAATATGCTGCTATGAGGGTTAAACCAGGCTACTCCTTGGAGGTAAGGATTCTGGGGCTTTGTCTGACATACTTTGGACATGTTGTAAGGAGAGACAGGTCCTTGGAGAGGGACATCATGCTTGGTAGGGTGGAGGGACAGCACAGGAGGGGAAGACCCTCTATGAGGTGGATTGATTCAGTGACTGGGGTAATTGGGATGGGTGTGTCAGAGGCAATACGATTGGCACAGGACAGAGCAGGGTTTAGGGTTGTTGTACATAGGGTCACTATGAGTCGCAAACGACTCGACGGCACATAACAACAACAACAATGTTAAATGTGATCATCTCGGGGAGGTGAGGTCTTGGGATATTTTATTCTTGGTTTTGTGGAATATTTGTTGTTGTTATGTGCCATCTAGCTGACTACAACTCACAGTGACCCTGTGGACAGCCAGTCTGGCAGCTGCCCTGTCCTGCCCCACCATCCTCAAGCTTTCCACTCTCCAACATGCTTAAGCCTGTGTCGATCCAACTTGTTGAGGGTGTTTCTTTCCTTTTAGGACCCTCCAGCTTTCTCACAATGCTATCTTTTCCCAAAGACTGGTGCCTCCTGACAGCATGTCCAAAGTATGTGAGATGAAACTATCCTTCATTATCCTTGCCTCTGGTTGTATTTCCTCCAAGAGAGACTTGCTTGCCCTTTTGGAAGTTCATGAGATACCCACTACTCTGAATATTTGCAGAACTGTAATAGTCGCTCAATAATAAAACACATTACTTGTGAACTCCAAATGAAAACAACTATCTTGTTAAAACAGAGGGTGAAAGAAGATCTTCATACCCCAGAGAGGCTGCAGCATCTACAGCCCAGCTTCTTTGGACTCCACCCCCTACAAGTAACACATTCCAGATGGCAGGGAGGGTCCAGGGAAGAGCTGAAGATGCGGAGCAGGCCTTCCTCGGCTCCCTCCCAATGGCCCCATGGATCACCCGGTATTGCTGGCTCATTTCATTGGCTCTCCTCCGGTTACTCATCTCTCCTCTTCTCCATCTTCCCAGTCTGTGGTTGCCGTGGAAACATAGAGGAGTGACATCATCACAGGGTGCAAGCTGAGGAGATAACTGCTCTCGGCAAGGACTGACTGGTGTCGCTGTAGGCATGGCATCTGTGTTTACCTAAGGCAAAATGAGGGAAGCAGGAAAAGAGACAGGGCTCACATTCCCATCACCTCTCTCCACGTCGCCAAATACAGGGAATGCAATAAAGCAAGGAGAATGTAGGCCCTCAAAGAGCTGGAGAGATGAGCTTTTGGGGCTACTCTTGATGATGAGTCTATGTAAGGTGAGAAGATGGCAATAGGGCAGGGGAAACACCACTCTGTTCAAAGGATGGAAAACGTCTGAGAGAGAACAGCATTGTTGCAGCACTTTTTAATTCTGTCTCAGAAATCAGTAAATTGAGGAGTGGAGCTAGGCAGTTCACCTAGGGTGAGGGGCAGAGCCGAGACCAGGTCTTCATTGTCCTGGGTATCCCAGGGGGTAAAAAGAGCAGTCACAGCAGTAGCCAGCATTTGCTAGCTCCACCACACTCAGCTTTTTAAAATGCATTATCTCATTTGATCCCTGAATACCTCAATGAGATAAATACCATGATTATCTGCACTATAAAGATGGAGATTGAGAGTTGAGCAAATCAATTGCCCAGGGCCACGCAGCTTACACAGTGGAAGCAGGACCAGAATCCTGATCTTCCTGCCAGCAGCTCTGGCCAGCACGAGCTCTCCATTACTGCATCACAAGAACCACAGGAGAAACTCTGCTCCTTGGATCTTCATCCTGTGCCTAAAAGGGTGACCTTGAGTCTGCAGCCAACCTTCCTCTCTCCCCGCCCTCACCGCTGCACCTGCTCCACAGTGAGGTCACCATGGCTCCAGGCCCAGCCCTGAGGCTTGTCCCTATAGCTTTGGCAGAACAGCCTTGTTCAAAAGAACCAAGGCCTTGTGGGAAGAGAGGGCTCTTCCTCTTTCCCAGGACATCCAGGAGAAGAAAAGAAGGGGCAGTTCTTTGTGTCCACATGGAAAAGCTCAGGAAGGAGGAACCAGCACAGGTGCGCATACATCCACCATGGAGAGGCCTCCACTCAAAGATCAGCGCTGAAACGCTCCAGCAGCGAAGGGCCGTCTCTCCACCAGAAACTCTCTTGCATCTAAACTCTCAGATCAAGACACGTCTCCCACTAAGTCACTTCATACTTGAATATGTATCTTGTTCATTGCAGTCTCTCTAGGGCCACAGCCCAAAGTGGGTGCTTAATTAAGGTTGAATTAATAAACATATGGGGCTCTGCTGGCAGGGTTCATAGCATGCCCCGTGCTGCCAACCCTTAGGTAGAGTGTTTTTGTCAGTTTGAATCCAGCAGCGGCTCTGTAGGAGAAAGATGGGTGGTCTCCTCCTGTTAACATTTATTGCCTCGGAAACTTGATGGAGGGTCACTGTGAGTCAGAAACTGACCAGACGGCGTTAAGTTTTGGTGTGCTCTTCTATACTTGTTTCCTCTTCAGAAAAAAGCACTAGGTGGCGCAGCAGTTGTGAGTTAGGTTAACAGAAAAGTCAGTGGTTCGAACTCACCAACTACTTCAAGGGAAAGAGATGAGAAGGTTTGTTTGCCTAAAGACTTGTGGTCTAGGAAATCCTGAGGGGCATTTCTACACTGTCCTTTAGGATCTCATTGCTGTAAGTCAGAAGTGGCTCCTGAGCAATGGGTTTTGTGCTTTTCTTGTCTGAAGACACAATTCATAGACTAATGAACGTCTAGGTCAGACTATGGTTTTCTAGTCTTCATTCTGCAATAAATATTTAGTAAGAGGTGGGTCTTAGGATGATTAAAAGTCCACTGTGAACAGTATAGTATGAAACAACTTTTCCAAGTTCTAGGAAAGTCAGGCTCACTGGGAGAGCTCATGTGAAGAAGTCAGAGGAAAGGCGGGGGTGAGGAGCTGGCTGAGGAGACAGGGTTTCTGAGAAGGCTAAGGGAGAGGGAGCAACCCGAGCTAAAAACTCCTAGCAAGCCTGGGTGGAGGTCAGAAAAGCCTTGAAAGGGCAAGTCTGACTGCTGCACCCTGGAAAGGTACCCTCAGGAGACATTCCTCAGGGAGGGGTGAGCACGTGTTGCAGGATTGGTGGGAAGCAAAGGGTCACATTTTGGCGCAGAGGAGGTGAAGGATCCAGGCCTGGCCCAGTCGCTCGAGCCCTTAGTAACTCTCTCTACCAGCAGGCAGGGGTCAGCGGCGCGCGCGGGCTCTGGAGCCAGTCGGGCCAGGCTTGCAATCTGGATGCCAATTCACTTCCTCCTCCTCACTGTTTGCAGCCCTGTCTGTCCCCTCTCTGCCCGGGTTCTTCACCTGAAAAATGAGGCCAATGAGACCTACACCCCAAGAGCTCATTGTAGCCTTGCCCGGCGGGGGTTGGGGAGGGCAGCAACACAAGGACGAGTGTCCTTTCTCTTCTAGCACCCAAGCCTAGGGACGCACCAGGGGACAGAAGACAACCAAGACTATGGCGTGCGCCCTACTTCCCGGCCACCTTGCCCCGAGCTACTTCCTTCTCAAAGTCGGACGAGTGGCTGGAGGCCAGTGAAGGGCGCTGGTCCATCCAAGCACCCACGCTGACGCAAGCGAAGGGGCGCCGCGGCCAGGACCCCTCCCCCTGGGCAGGATGGAGCCGAGCGGCCAGACCCTGCGGGCGCGCGCCAGCCTCGGGCTTCCTATTTCGGGAGCTGGGAGCCTGGGTCACGTCTCGCCACGTGACGCAAGGGCTATTTAAAGCGGTACCTGGGGCTGGGAGCTGCCGGAGTCCTCGCACGCGTGCTCTCCCGTCGCCGCTCTCCCAGCCCAGCCTCACCATGGTGGAAGCTTTTGCGGGCACCTGGAAGCTGGTAGACAGCAAGAATTTCGATGAATACATGAAGTCGCTGGGTGAGCAGGGCTCGGGATGCTGGGTTGGGGGCTCGCAGGCAGTGTGCCTGGCGCAGCGCGCCCACCCCCATTGCTGTCCTGCGCCCGGGCTGCGCCCTTCCTGGTAGACTAGTGACTAGGGGAACACGGGTGGTGACAGCCCGGGCTGGGATTGTGGGCATCTGTTTGAGAAGTTCTTGGTCTGGTCCAACGAGAGGGATACCCAGCTAGGGAGCTGTCGGAGGGAGGCAGATATACCTACTGATAAATGGCAGGGAGGCGCTTTCCGGGGAGAGGGGTATGGCTCTGCAGGTAGGAAGGGGATGCGGATAAAAGGAGCGCATAGCAACAGAAAGGTGGGAGCATAATCCTGGTGAGGGGGTGGCGGGGGATGGGGGCGATGGCTACAGAACAGGGCCATGGGTTGTTTAGAATTTGGAGGAAAATGTGAGCAACTTAAGGTGGAATCGAGTATACAGATGCCTAAGAGGGAAATGGGGTGAGGAACGCGAGTCAGATAGGAGAAATGAGACCAGTACCGCCCTGATTCGCAATAATCCTTGCACCTCCATGTTGGGTGGGCAGAGACTGCGGCTGGAGGATGCCCTTCCCAACCAGCCAGTCTCTGATGCAGTCTGCAGGCGTAGGAGAGCACCGCGTTTCGATCACTGTCAATGAGCATAGTGATCGAGTGGGGCAAGAGGTCTGCTCACCAGCTGGGCCTGTCCTAGCTCCCAAAGCCCAGCCACCCCTTAGAAAAACCAGCTGTCTTTGAGCTGATCCCAACTCATAACAACTGCGTGTGTGAAGGCACTGTGCTGCACAGGATCTTCAACGGCTCTTAGGGGTTTTAAAAGTTGTGCATCATCAAGTCAGAACCGCCTGAGCTGACCCTCCAGTAGGTTTTCAGAAGCCGTACAGGAGCGCAGGAGATCACCCATCTTTCTCCAGACAGTTAGTGGATTCAAACTGCTTGTCTTTGGAATTGTCGCACAGCTTCTTACCACTAGGCCACCAGTCACCAAAAATTTATCCTCAAAGCTCCTCCGGGTGGACTAAGACTTTAACCTTTCAATTAGCAGTCAAATGTGCTTCCTATTCACACCACCCGGGAATTCCAGCCACCCCTTTCGAGGTAGAATAGAGAAAGCCTTTGGATTTCTGGGGTGAGGCTGAGGGTCCCAGAGCAAGGTCAAGGTAGAGAAGGTTTAGAAGGATGGAGATCGCTATGTGGTGCTGAGGATGAGTGAAAATAGTCAGACAACCCTGCCTTTGAGCCCTGAAGATCTACCATAATTTGCCTCCGTTTGTATACATTGTTTTTCATACCAGATCTTTCATTACCCACCCCTCCCTCTACCCACCAAATTGTGCGACCCTGCCCATCCTCACCCCTCTGCTCCTCCCCTTGGATCTTCATACCCAAGGTAAAGTTATACCTTACCTAGTTCTATAGATGGAGAATTCAGTCCAGAGAGAGCAGAACTCATAGCAATTCCACAGCAATTGGTATGAAAATTTAGGCTTCTAGGTTTGTAATCCAGAGCTCTTCCTATTAATCGGTGGGCCATAGAAATGGGGAATTGGTTTGGCCCTTTGGTTTGGATTTAGATGGAGGAGTGATATTCTTTTTCTGCGATCCCTGGAAATGAGTTTAGTCTGCACCCTCAGGCTGGGACAGAGGACATCAGAAGGCACTAGAGCTGGGCTCCAAGTCTTCCTCTCAGTACTGAGAGCCGGATTATGGCAAGTCCTCAAAGTAGTGGAGAGGCCCTCTCTGGGTACCTCTCACCTTTGCTATTAACCTTTTTAATAAATAAAACAGGGCCCACAGGTGTTGGCTCTGAGGTCAAAGCTCTCACTGCCTCTACTCTATGCTGGCACTACACCCAGTGACTCCAGAAAGGCTATTCTTGGAGAAGCTAGAATGACCAGGTTTAGTTCTTCTCCCCAAACCTTCCATAGCAGACTTTTGGACAGAGCCAAATTCTAAACTGGGCGGTCACACCCTTCCCACTCTTGTTATTCTGCCCCAGTTTAGACAACATAGTGTTCAGAGACTAAGACTCCACCCAGCCTCCTTTTCTCACTGTAGAGAAAGGCTGAGGTCCAGTTTGGGGGAGACATGCTCCTCACCTCTCTCAGTAGCTTTAGCTGCACCTCTGAGTAGATCTCAATTCCTCTCCTCTACAGTCTAGTCGTCCTGTTTTTACTTTCCCTTGGCTCAGCTGCATACTCACCCGTTCCTTTCCTCAAACACTGCAGCTCTGGGTAAGTCCTAAACAAACAGCACCCAGAGCAGCACTGAGGGCCGGCTCCACGCCAGGAGTGTGACTGGCTGGTGCTGAGGCCAGGGGCAAGGCCAAGGCCCGTGCACTAGGCAGGGTACTTGGGCACCAGAACAGCTGCTGAGGCAATCTCTGCCCCCAGTACCCTTGCTCTAGAGCGAGTGATTGGCACCTCTTGCACACCTAAACTGTGTCTCTTGGAGGCATAAGGGCGCAGGGGAATAAAGAACATTCTGGAGCCAGTTCATCCTAGATTCAAATCCAGATTTGACTCTAGATAAATTATTTCCCTTTCTGAGCTTCATTCATTTAATGTGGTTAATAGAACCTACTCCTCAGGACTTTTGGATAAAACAGATGGGAGATACCCTTCAAACCTGGAGCAAAACTCGGTCCTGTGGCTCAACTTTCAGCCAAACAACAGAAAGGCCTATAAAGTGGCCTATGGCACCAGGCCATGTTATCAGGAGGGCCTAGTCCTTGGGAAGTGACAGCATATGGGGAAAGTGGCGGGTCAGAGAAAGGGGAAGACCATCACCAGAATGGATTGACACAGAGACTGGAACAACGGGCTCAAGCACAGCAGAGATAATTAGGATGGCACATATGTGCTGTGGTGTCACTAACATAAGGGGACCAGGATACCAGGGAAGCATTCACCCTTAGAATAACCAACCACTTAAGGTTAAGAGAGCAGGATTTGCCCAAGCATAAAGCTCAGGAAGCAGGAAGGTGTAAAAGAGGTGATAACTGTTCTTTGAATTTCTTAGCTGTGAGGTTTTTTCTCACTTGAGACAGGAAAAGCCAGAATGCTCATGACCAACAGCTGGTCATATGGTTAAAAAGTGCCACTGCGTTTGGGGATTTTTATACACACCACTTCCACACAGGGCTGCCTTAGAGGGCAGTTCAGCATAAGTTAGGGGGTGGGGGACAGAGACAGGGCAAATGGGAAGTAACTACAGGAGGCTGACCTTTGATCTACCTGCAGGGGTGGAAGCTTCATTTAAAAGCTTCTCCCCCCTCTCCCTTGCAGGCACCTTAGGACTTTGCCCAGCACCAAGGAAGCCACACTTGGCTCAGGATAGGAGTCCGCACAAGGAGGCCAGGATTAGACTCATTATCACTACCAACTCAGGCCTCTTCTAAATCTCCACAATGGGACAAATACTTTCTTTCAAGTCATGGATAAGAGGAGGCTCTGAAACCTGCAAGGTTGCCATGCATGGAGGACAAGGGCATTGGGGCTCCTTAGGGATGGGCTTCAAGACTTCCCCAAGTGCAAATGTCTTGTTCCTAAGGCAGAGTTCACATTCCTTTTTCTTTGTTCTGGGAGTTAAAAGCTGCCCAGGTAGCCTAGAAGGAAGCCCTGTCCTCCCGCCTTGGGAGGCATTACTGTTGAGCAGTTATGTGGGCTTGGAGCCAGGCAATTTTGGGTGTGAATCCCAGATGTGGGCTTCTAAGCGATAGTTTTTGCATCTGTTAGGTGGAGATAATTCTTCAGGGAGGCTGGAAGGAGTCAGTGAAAGTCATGACAGCTCTTAGCACACAGAAAGCAATGGTATTCTAATGCCAGCTCTCCAAGGACTTGCTGGGGCATGTCTTGACTTTTCCCACTTACCTAACAGAGCCCTGCACATAGCCAAGGGGAGAAGATGGTCTTGCAAAGGCTTAGAACATTATAGTCCCTCCTTCTTCCCTTTAACTCAAACCCAATTCTAACAGTTGCTCATTGCTTGAGCGCTTCACTCCTCCCTCTGCCAGCTCTTGCAATACACTGCATCTTGGCACTTAACACACACGTGTACAACACGGAATATAGGAAACTAATGTTTGAGGTTACACAGTTTACCATAACCAAAACCAAAATCATACTCTGAGTGCACTTGTGTACACACTATGGTGCCTGTAGTAACCTCTGTTCTCCTCTCAGGTGTGGGTTTTGCTACCAGGCAGGTGGCCACCAGGACCAAACCTACTACGATCATTGAAGTGAATGGGGACACGATCACCATAAAAACACAGAGCACCTTCAAGAACACGGAGATCAGCTTCAAGTTGGGCGCAGAGTTTGATGAGACAACAGCAGATGACAGGAAAGTCAAGGTGAGTTAGACAAAAGTACTTGGGAGGGGGGCAAGGTGCAGGGAAATTGAGGTAAGCAGGCTGGGAGCCTTGGCTGGCTGTCACTGCACCCTGAAGAGCAGGCTATTAGAGGAGACTGAAATGAAACAAAGTTCAAAAAGCCTGGGCAGTACTGAAGTGCTCCAGGAGCTAAATCCATGTTAGCTGGTTTCCTTCTCAGGAAGCACTTCACAGTGGCTGAAAAACCTTACCCATTTGGTAGCCCAGAGCCAAGATGTTCTTCTGACCTCCGTGTTTACTCCAGCTGGGTGACCTTATGCAAAACGTGTAATCATTTGGGTTTCTGTCTCCTTCCATAGATGGGGGAGTTAAGTGGCCATGGCAGTGACCTCAAGTACTTTGGGAACAATGCCCAGAAGTCAGAGCCCTCCAGTCTCCAGTGACAAGGTCATCCTGGCCTCCAACAGCAAAGGAGGCAGCTAGAGGCAAGAGGCTGGGACCTACTCAGATGCCTCCTCTCTTCAACCCCCAGCCCTTGGTCTCGGCCAATGACCTTGAACAACTTCTTTTATTCAGGGTTCTGCCAAGCTCCTGTGGTGCTATCAGTCTTGGCAGCTTGCCTAGCTCTGGGCCAGGCATGAAGAGACATTCAGGGCATTTGACCTCTATGGAGCAGCCCTACTGTACGTTCCCCACCTTCAAGCCTGCCCCTCAGCTCTCTCCTCTGTCTCACAGCTGTCCCCAGGGAGGGTCTGGTCTCCTTTCAGAAAAAGAGGCACTGAAGCTCGGCCTAGGAGCACACAGGAGGCCGGAAGCCAAGCTGAAGATGGTATCCAAGGCTGACAGCCAACTCTGGATTGCCCTTTTGATTTGCCCACCTTGTCAAGGAGCGAGCACTCTAATTAATCCCCGTGGCAGTCCTCTGGGGACAGCCAGGCCAAAACGAGTCTGCTCTGAGTGGGCAGAAAGCTGCAGGCAACAAAGATAAAGGTGGAGAGTCCCCTACTGCCCCCCATCACCAGCTTCTCAGATCCTCCTACTGAGCCCTGTTGGTGCCATAACCTGGTGCAGGGCCCCCAAATTCCTGGAGAAGTCTGGGAGAGCAGCCAACTGAGAACCAGTTGATATAGGGTGGAACAGCACAGGGTGTGCATTTGACCTTGGGAAGTAGAACATTTTGGAGGCACTCAGCACTGGGATCCTGCAATTTCTTCCCATCTGTCAGCTGACAGGGTCAAATGATGTGGAAAAAGGGCAGGACGACTTTCCACTACTTCTCATCACCAAGGGTATAACTATTAAGATCTTACACGTAGTAACCACAAGGCCGGACAGATTCTCATCTCAGGACGACTCAGCCAGTCTTTCCCAGGCTATAGACTGGAACATGCTCCTGTATCTTAAATGTGCTGGGGTATCCTTGAGAGAAGATCACAGCCCTTCTCAAAGCCTGGTGATGCTCCTCAGAGCCAGGCTCTCTGGTCCTATCATCTGGTTTGTCTTTTCTTACTCACTGATCCCTAAATAGCCCTCTCCTAGGCCCTAGTGGAGCAGAGGCTGGAGGTAAACCAGACACTTTGCGGGGCAAGGATGGGGCCTGGCTGCCTGAGTTCTAACCCCTGTACCATTACTAGTTTGAGTCAGGGACTGAATTCTCAGTGGCCAGACTCCACCCTCTCTCCAGTCCTGGCTGAGACCACACATCGGGCTTCTACTTTTTTCACAGTCCACTGTGACGATGGATGGAGGCAAACTTGTCCATGTGCAGAAGTGGGATGGGCAAGAGACGACACTTGTGCGGGAACTAACTGATGGGAAACTAATTCTGGTAAGATGGGTGACTCTGCGGCTGACGTGATTACTTACCGCCACTCCACCTCCTCTGGGAGCAGGGGAACTGGGGCTGGGCGGGGAGGAAGCAGGGTCACTGGGGCTGAGTGGGGAGCAAGCAGGGTCAGGGTGGCACTGGGTGGGCATTTTCTCTATAGTGACTCTGGACTCCTACAGGCACAGGTTCAAACCTCAGCTTACAGACTGCATAGACGTGAACATCTCAAGGTTCAACTATAAAGTGGATTATTAAGAGTATTAATCATGTGGGGCTGCTAGCAGGTCTGAAGGAGACAATGTACATTTTGCACAAGGTACAGTGTGTTGGGAGGAGCACAGTGGATGTTCCAGAACCTTAGGTTCCTCCTGTGTTGCCGCCATGCCTCATCCCCATGCCTCAGTGGGAGAGAAGCAGGGCCAAGTGTGACCCAAGGCCTTCTGTAAGCGCTTCCCCCTCTCCTGTCACAGCAGTGCTCCTTCAGGGACAGAGGTGGGGACAAGGCTGGTGGCTGGTCCTCCAGATGGCAGTGCAGCCTTTTACCTCCTTCACGTCACCCTCAGTGCCCTTCCTGTATGGGCTGCCAAACATACCTCATTACTGGGTAGGAAGCAACACAAACAGGCCCGTAGATCTGTTCTTTTTAGAGACTCTCCTGAGGATTTCATCCAAAGAATGCAGCCCTGCCTGATGCCCCCAGAGCTGGGGAGAGAAGTTACCATCACCTGTGCTCTCTGCCTCCTAGGGCTGTGGGGCCTCGTGTTTCTGTTTTGGCATTTTAACTTGAGACGTTCTGTGTACCAAGTTAACTGCATCCGTAAAAGAGGGTCTGGGGTCCCTGCTGTTAGGAATGTGATAGGACAACAGGATCAAATTCTGGGCAACTATACTATATTCTCCCAGGAAGTGATAAAACCATGGATCTAAATCTTATAGCAGCCAGATTAGATGGTCGGTGTGGGGGCTCTCATCATAGCACTATTCTAAGTTACGGGAAAAAGGAACAGGAATTAGAGGCCTAGGACAGGGTCTTCAGATATCCTTATTCACCTGTGTGTCTGCTCTGTGCCAGGAACTTTCTTAAGCACAAAGGATGAAGGAAATGTAATAGTACAAGGTAAAGAGAAGTATTTCCTTCCTCTCAGGCTCATTTTTCCAAATTTCTAAGTCATTATTCTAATGCCTGTCTTAAATTCTTGGTATAAAATCATTAGAGTGCCTGGTGCATAATAAATGAAGATCTGATGATGGAAGGAGCTCTTTCTATCAGAGTGGAGAGGGGCCCACCTCTGCCCTAATGGATCTGTCTTTTCTTCCAGACACTCACCCACGGCAGTGCAGTCAGCACTCGAACTTACGAGAAGGAGGCGTGAGCCGGCCCGCTCTCCACCAACTCCTCTGCCAGTCGGCAAC